TAATCTTCCAGACGGACATTAAATAAAAAATTAGGCATCTACCTACCCTATTAGGGAACCGACGCAACGTACCTACTTAAATGACAATAAACCAATCTATCCATTATCTATACATTTATCACCATTATCATTATCTATAGAAACTGCACATTGCATATATTTTTAAAAGAATTATTTTTCCTACAATCGATAACGAAACTTAAAGTTTTTACAATTTCTGTCTTCTTGTCTGTATGTATGTCCGGGCTAAACTCAAAAAGTACTGCATGGATTTACTTCAAATCTTGCATGGATATTACTAACAGGTCGGATCAACACATACTCTAGATATTATCACGCTATCACCTACGGGTGAGGAGTTGTGAATATATTCCCGACGAAGTCACTCGTACAACTAGTTTACAATGTTATCAAACAATGATACTCACACATTAAACTTTATAGAATAAAATAGATTAACTCGTCGAGTACCGGTTTTGTAGACACAATTATAGAACAATAGGTTGCGGTCACCGGTGACCGCTTGGTGTTTGACAGTTTAATAGACTAAGGTAGGTACATAATCATTAGACTAGCCAAAACTTTCCTGAATCAAAAATAAATTATTTCGACTATTCAATACAATAAAATCTCATACTTATTATATAAAGCGGAAAAGTTTGTTTTTTGTTTGTTTGTTTGGACGCGCTGTCTCCGTAACTACAAGTCTGTGTTGAATAATTATTTTTATCGCATTTATCGAGGATGGCTATAGGCTATAAAACATCACGCTACGACCAATAGGAGCTGAGTTGAGCTGAGAGAGCTGAGAGAAGAATAAAATTGATTAATAGACTAAGGTTAAAAAAAAATTAGTCTAGACAAAATTAAGTACTTTCCTTTATAAAAAAAATAAATTATTTCGACTATTCAATACAATGAAATATAAAAAAATAATCAAACTTTCATTCGTTGATTTTATGACCAACTTAATTTTAGTATTTACCCAGTCAATTTTTAAGCAAAAAGTATGCTGTTTGACGCATAAAAAACGTGACGTCACAATACACAATACATCTCGTACAAAATTCATAGAAAACTGTAGTTTTTGACAGTTCGAAAAAAGTATTGAATTTGACTAGTTATCAAGTACTCAATTATGTACATACTATCCCAACTTAGTACTGTAGTACCGACTTCACTAGGCCACAAGGCTAACATGTGCCTAGGGTCTGACACGCTCAGAATAATATTAAGGCCAATTAATCATACCCTCGTGTCACTATGGGTCTGACGTACTGACATGGCCTAAGATTAAACCAAAGCTCTATCCTTGAAGACCTATCTTGTCTGATGTTAGACTCGGCCCAAATTGATGTTGTTCGTTTGTAGATAGATTTTGTCAATTTTGACTAAGTTTAGTTTACCTAAGTGAGAAATGTTTGGTTTTGTGTTTGTTAAGTTGGGGTCCTCAGTTCGATCTATGCAAACTTTCAATTTTTTTTTATATTATGCGAGGCCTTTACAAAAAAATTTTAAGCCTTTGACTGCCAATAAAAAACTGTTGAAGGTAAATCCTCCGCTAACGTCCTCGATCACCGGTGACCCCCATGGCGTTTAACGTATTATTATTAATATAATACACATCGAATTTTAGTTAAAATGAGAACAATTTATTTCAGCACATTTTTACAGTAATAATAAAATTAAAGAATAACTCACTCGACAATTCCAACCATGTTCATTCGAAATTAATAAATCAAATCAACCTTTCAACATCGCTGAAACCATTCCAGCATTAAATCTAGAACAGAATAGATTTATCACAATGGAATAAAAACTTTAACTCGTTCGAATATAGTATAAAATCCATCGAATTGTTATTCAAGACCTTTTTCAATGTCTTATTATTACAACCCTGTCAAGTACTATATAGGGTAAATTCGCCTGTTCGCGTCCACACAATAATTTGCATTTATTTTATCGCCATGAATGTAAGATATTAAAAAAGTATATAGATCAAAATAATTGTGTATACTAAAACTATGTACTTATATCATGATAGTTTTATTGTTGACTCCCTTGTTGGCCAAGTGGTCGCAAGTGCGACTGCTGGGTAAGGTGTCTCGGGTTCGATTCCCGTGTCAGGCAAAATTACTAGCGAATTTAAAAAAAATCTCAATAGTAGCACGGAGTCTGGAATTGTGGCCGATATATGGCAATAAACTCTTAACATAAATAATTTATAGCATAAATACACACAACATTTTACACTTACTAATGTGTCTCCCTGCATCACCCTAAAGTTGACTGTTAGAGAATGCCAATAGGCATTAGGTCCGCCATTGTATACCCATTGTGCAAAACGTGTAAATAAATAAATAAATAGTGACAAGTGGATGTTACATTGTACAGTGGCGTTAACCACTTGACTGCCGCTATATAAGACACAATAGAAAACACATTGTGTCTCGCTTGCATCTGCGTTCCGGTACACAACGGCTTAAGTGTTATAATGTGCACCTCTGCCGTCAGGGATAAAAGGCGTTATGTTTATGTTTTATTATATTCGTAAATTTTTAAAGGGACGTTACATGGACGCGAACTGTAGAACTTACCCTACGCTTCAACGGTTGACCGCTCAAATAACAGTTTGGTATGAATGGTTTTCTAAAAGCCCTTCTGCACGTAGCCGGGGTACCGGCCAATAACTGTAGAGTGTGGACCATTGCACTCTGAGTTATGGTCCAAGTTACAAGTTGAGAACTTTGTTTTATTTATTACTAGCTTTTACCCGCGGCTTCGATCGTGTCACAAAATCATAAAAATACGCGTAATAAAAAGTAACCTATGTGACATATATCAATACACACATTTTCCCTCGGGAATATCAATTTTTTCCGGGATAAAGATAATATAAAGTACCCTATTATTTAATCCGGACTTCTAACTTTACGTCTGCATAAATTCAAAGCTATCGGTTTAGTAGTTACGGTGTGAAAACGAAACAAACAAACTCACTTTCCGAATTATAATATTAGTAAGGATTATTATTTATTTATTTAATAGTAAAAGGTGCATGATATGCCTAACTATCTAACGCCATGTCCAACAAAACTATACATAAATAGTTTGACTGTTGGATCTTCTAATATATCTTCACATAATTTAAAAATAAGTCTTGTTTTGCGTCCCGGTCTGTATGAATATGGTTCAATAAAACACTATCGTACGAATTTTTCTATGGTTAACACCAATACATAGATAGTGTGATTTACAGTGAGCCATGATATAAAGTGCCTTTGCAAATAAACTTTTTAACAAAGGATTGAATCCGAAATATATATCGTAATACCGATGGAAAACGCATCTTAAAAGAATAGTAAATTCTCTAGAACCTTTTGTTTTTTTTATCTTTTTTGACCCACCAACAACTAAAGAAAAAAAAATGTTAACCCACAAACATTTTCATCAGATAACAGTAAAAAAATACAATTGATTACAGGCGAGCACAGCATTCTCTAAGAAAAAATGAACTAATAAAGCAAAAATAGAATAAAAGATGTCGATTTAAAAACAAATTTCGTTGCATTCATTTACATGAATAAATTAGCAATAGATTAATTAGAGGAAATGAAGACACTGTAATAACACATATGTATATCATTATGCCTTCAGTAACATCTCATAAATCAAATCGCTTTAATCTATAACTTATACCAAATGATAGAGGATTTTAACATCACGATGGTACAGAAAACTCGCATTATCGGAATGACGTGATCTTTATACGTTTTTAAATTGTTCAGCTTTAGAGAACATTTTATTCAACATTTTTCAGTTTTTTGAAGTAGGTATTAGATAACCTAGTTAGGTGATTTATTCACGTTTTGATTTTTATTACTGGCATTCCACATCAGATACCTTTTTTTACCGTCGTACCTTTTGAGTACCGTCGTTATAGACACAATTAAAGAACAACAGGTCACCGCTGTCCTCGCGGTGTTAGACAGTTTAATTGGGGCAAATAATAGAATGACTTCTCCCGCCTGGATGAGGCGGGAGGATGTCTCAGACTCTTATTAAAAACCACCCCGTTCCTACTTCTACACTTCAAGCCGGAGCCCGGTAACCTTCTACGTTCTCCGGCTTGAAGTGCAGGAGTAAAAACAGGCTTACTTTTAGTAAGTAAGATTCCATTACATTGGCTTTATATTCCGTACTCTGAATGCTATTTCAACAGCTACGAAAGAAATTGTATAGTTTTGACATTGAATAATTATTGAAATTTTATTGCATTGTATTGGCATTGAGATTGGTTTTAAGAGTCAAGAACTCAGGTGGCCCGTGTATATTTTTGCCACCGTCGTCGAATAAAAAAAAAACAAAAGCCTTAACCAGAACAACATGAAATTTCTTCTCATAGTCGTGAGAACTACAACAATCTACCAATTAAAGTAGAAAAATAGTGACCAACGACCATAGATAAACCATATGGCTTGGACATTTACTACAAGAACTTCACCGTCTTAAAAAGGAGGTCTTCACCAAAACTGCTATGAACAAAACTGGTTACTATACATATATGGTGTCGTAGTACTGAACTAAAATGGTAACTTACTACTCGTAGTTAGGTGACTCATAGTAACTTGGTTGTAGTATTTTGATATCTTAAGTTTACATCAAGGTTTTTAAATCTTAAAGATTTTGATAGAAATATACTTTTTATCAAACGACTTTTTGATTAGATTAAGAACATAACATCACCCCTTTTAATCCCCAAGGGGTAGGCAGAGGGGCCCATTACGGCAGTTAATGCTACCGTAGAATGTTAGATTTCAAGACATAGGTAATTTCACGGTTGCAAAGGCGTGTTTATAGCGATATAAGTCGTATAACATTTTTCTTATTAGTTGTAGTCACAAGGATCGTCTACAAGATTTTTGAAAATATTTGTTACCAAGTTCTAGTTAAGTTATTCTTAATAAATATGTTATTAATTGTATTTCTCTTTGTTCCAGGCCTACACACCGACAGGCTTCGAAAAATATGGCTGTACTTGCGCAGTCGCAGATTACAGAGTTAATTTCTCCGTATGGGACACCTCTGGTAAGTCAAACTATCATCTTTTACGTTTAATTCCATTTTGTATCACACGCCATTTTGTAATTTTACTTCGATTGTTCATAATTCTAAGTTATTTTCACATTTTTCTGTAATAAATCATTGATTGCACATGAATACATATTATATATTCCATATTATATATACTATATTATATATATCATTATTTCTGTATGCGTTTGAGTGGCGCCCTGGATGGTTTAGATTCACAAATCACTCATCAAATCAGCCCGGCGGATGGCGCTGCAGTGCAGTCAATATTTAGGTTATTTATTTATAGCTATTATTATATTATATGCAGGACAACGTCTGTCGATTCCGTTAGTATATATAATATAAATTCATTTAAATCAGTCAAGCCGTATATGAGGAGTTCAATGATATACACACGTACAGCAGAATTATATATATATAGAAGATATAGACTCACTTATGTCTTTTATAATAATTTATATTAAAATCTTTTAATATTTCTTTTTTATTCACTTGACCTGATTCGTGCCTAAAGTTTGCACATTAACAGATCTATTCGACAAACGGAACCTTTTTTCAATTTTTTTTTCACTATCTCGCCTGTGTCTTTAGCTAAACGCCATTTTAGCGCCTGTCTACAGAGAGAGTAGAAAAAGTAGAAAACTAAATATATGGGGGGGATAACACTGACAAGTGTCAAAATTCACGTCAATTCCATATAATTTGGTTTTCTATTCTACATGTAGACAAGCGCTAAATGGCATTTGGCTACAGCTGCTGGTGGTAACTGATGATGCGGTCTACGATGGAGCACGTCATCCCATAAGCAACCTATTCACTCGGGCCTTGAAGATACCCAGGTTTACCCTTCAGGAAACAGGCTCTTTTGAGTCTTTGTATCAGGCTTTAGTCAAAGCAAAGTCTTACACTTTGGTCTAGGTAATCTACCTTTTTCCAAGCAATACACCGTGACATAACACTTAATATCATCCAGTCATATTTGCATGTCTGTACCATCGTTTAGACAAAACCAGTAAAGCGTGAAATGGTTAATAGCAGAACAAATCGCTACATGTGGCTTATCTTCGAGCACGCACTCGCTGCCGTGACAAATGGCCGACACGTTAACACGCCAACTGAATCTCATTTCATACTTTGTTATTGCAAGGACGAAGATCATATGCTGCACTTTTTTAATTCTGATAGTCAGTAGATTCACTTGTTGGTCCAGGGGCCATACTTGCGACTGCTTACTATTTTCTGAGTTGGAAAATCATCCAATCGCTTCTCGGATGAAGCAAAAAGGATGTCAGACTGTTACTGACTAAAAACTACCCTGTTCCTACTTCAGCTTTGAGCTAGAGCCCCCAGGCCTCGATTTCAATGTAATCGGATGGATCTATATCTACCGATGATAACTAATTTAGGGCATCCAGCAAAGAAGTGCATGATCATATCATAAGAAAATTCAATTGTTAATCCTATAGCATCACCTTTCCACGTAGGTCTTAATTTTCGTAGAGAATGAAGCGACCGCCTCGTTGACCGAGTGGTTGCAAGTGCGACAGTCGGGCAAGGGAGCTCGGGTTCAATTCCCGGGTCGGGCAAAGTATTAATGGGTATTTTGAAAAATTTATCTGTAGTAGCATAGATAGACACTAGTATAATCTCACTTAGTCAAATATAATAAAATAATGAAATAATCACGCTTGATGACGGCAACAGTATATATTCATTTTTTCCTCGAATTACATTGTCAGAAAATTTTATATGGTAATAATTTTACGTAATTTTAAAGTATTGTCACTGGTTCAGTTAAAGCAAATATCTGAACAAAGCAGATCACAATCATTAAACATTACGGTCATATACACTTCTGGCCATAAATACTGTAACATAACATGAAGAGAATTACCTACAGACTGTAGTGCAGCTATTATTACGTCATATATATTTTATTTTATTCTTAAACTTTGTTCTACACTCGTATTTTACCTGTGTCGTGGGTGCGTTTACAAACATACAAGTTCACATACACATCACACACAGACCTGGAACAACAATCTGTGGATCACACAAAGACTTGCTGCGTGGGGAATTGAATCCCCGACACATTGGTTGCCCAGTCACCGCACCAACCGTGTAGTCGAGTCATAATAATTGTCAAATGCTAACCTTTTATCAGTAAATAATCCTAATTTGCTAATCAATAGCAGTAGCTACTAACTATAGGTTTCTCTGATAAGATGATTCACCCAAAATGCTAGACAATAATCAAACAATAACGTGCAGTGAAAACTAGCGTTAATTTAAAAGTAATAAAAGCACAAAATCCCTTGACACAATCCCCAACAATAAACAGTTTCACCAATTCCCAGCTGTCAATGTTACAAAATATATAGTAGTACTTTTAAATAAAACAACTGATAAGTTAATAATATTGTAAAGCTGGCCCCTTTTAATTGTCCACAAGTGTACAATCGAGGTTTCAGTCGAAATCATGGATCAGTGATTTGGACCGACCAATACATGAAAATACGTTCATTTCATGGACATAAAATGTACATACGTACGTATTTGCGAGAATTTATTTACATTGTAATGTTTGACATGAAATGTTAAATGGACATTATGCAGGGATGGATTGGGGAAGTTTAAATGTTTCGGCCAATTTATACAGGGTAGGATTGTGAACATTTTGGGTTTAATAGTAGACTGATTTAACAAAATATATTTACTTATTTACAATTTTATTTATAACTTGCACAACGTTGTGTGTATAAAGACCGTGAAATCTGTTTCGTTTTCGTCCCGAATGTCTTAGTCATACAATAGTTTAACAAAGAAATAAAATGTTTAAACCAAAAAAAAACTGATGAAGCATTGTAAAAAACTTCAAAATCACATACGAACTCATAATACATTACAAAACATCGCACCTTGTCGGGTGGCATGTGCGATGTGAATAATGCCTACAAAACGTCTAGTGTTTCATGTGCATATATTGATTATGTTTTATTAAACTAGAATTGTATTGTGAACCTGATTGAAAAAGAGTAACCTATGGAGTTTCTTGCTCGTTCTTCTCCATAGGAATCTACACTTTGGAATAAGCAAATAGCTTCACTTGTAATTTTTATGCTGACGTTCAGTAGCGCCTTTCTGGTCGAATTGAAATAAATGATTTTGACTTTGACTTTTTTGTTTTTACTTTATACATCGTAAGTACTGACAAGTTCCTTTGCTGCGGGACAAAAACGAAATAGATTTCACGGTGTATGGTTGTGTATTAATTTTGCAACTAAATTATGAAGGTATTTCATAAACCGATTATGCAAAAATTTTGTATAGTAGACACGTTTATTCAACAACATATAACAATCGTCAAATTCCTTATCCCCAAAAGGCGAGCAACGCATTTGTACCGCCCCTGGTGTTTCATGTGTCCATGGGCGACACCGATTGCTTACCATCAGGTGATCCGTCTGCTCGTTTACGCATAACCTTTAATCCGGTAAAATAAAAAAAAATAGTTTCTAGCTTCTACAATGAAAATAAGGCCACCAAAGGCGTTCATTTAATATATTTATTTTTTTATTTTTTTTATACTTGATAGGTGTCGACCTGGCCACCATCTTGGCTGGTTACCGACCGACCGACGCACGGTGGAGTACGCCTACCTATGAGCTACCTGTTCACTCAGGACTTGAAGGCACCCAAGTCATATTTTTTTTAATATCGAATGATCCAAAGAACGTAATAACGATATCCTGGATAATCCGTATCATAGTCTACCTTAAAACCAACTGTCCATGACTATCCGAAACCATTGGCTTTCGCAACACAGTTCTCACACCTACACCACAAGCCCTGATCTCGTGATCACGTCCACCTACTGATAAAGTGGGGTTAATGTAAATTACCATGGGTTTAATTAATGATCGCCATTTTCGAAGGGACTGCACAAGGTGCATGGTATTATCCAGTATTGCCATAGTACTAGGCCGGTAAAACAATAGGGATGATGACAGGGTATTAAAATTAAAAATGTAATTAGTCCGTCAGTTAGGTAATGAAAAAATATTAGACTCGTGTTTTTTTTTTATTTTGTTGTATAATAAAATGATACTTAGATATAACGAATCAAAGTTTAGGACTGGGGGCTAAAACTTCATTTCTACGTATAAAATGTACATAGAAGTGACGTCACGCGACATTTCAATTTCTATATCTACCTCTATATATAGATATACAAAGATAGATTGACAGCTTGGCATTTTAATCAAAGTATACTGTACTACAATCTCGACCAAGGTAATCTTGATAGATGAATAAATAATTGATTATTTAAAGATCAAATATTTGCTACTCATACATTAATCATGAACAGAATTCAAATCTGTATTACGCAAAAAAATCAGTAACATAGGTAGTATACGGGTTCACATTAAGCTAAGAATAACCAGTATAAACTGACCGGCGAATGTGCCAAAAGATCATACAAAACGAGACCATGATAAGCTGGGTTTGTGTAACTTGATATGTTCAAAAGTATAGTTTTGACAAAAAACGACCTTATGCTCATAGGAATAAGAATTTGTAACAAAAAGTTTATGAATTCTTATCATGATTATTATATTTTAGGCATGTAAGACAATTTAAAGATAAAAAGTACAAAAAAATGTATAAATAATTCAAATAAAACATTCGTAGCACCGGAGTAGGTATTTCGTAGTTACTGCTACAGCCGAAATAGCTCAGTTGGGAGAGCGTTAGACTGAAGATCTAAAGGTCCCCGGTTCAATCCCGGGTTTCGGCAATCTCTTTTTGTTAGTTTTAATTGCTTTTTAAACAGTCCTATTTATATTTTACACAGTATAAATCTATTTTTCCGCATAATTATCTAATAGTTACAATTTACAACCGTATTTTAGTGTTATTTATAAATTATCAAGTTTTTTTTAATTGTTGACTACATGAAATTTTAACAATGAGGATTAGTTAATAGTTTGTTACATAAAATAAAATTATGCGAACGTCTGAATAATATTCCTTTAGAAAAATATATTAAATCTATTTATTTTGTTCCAGGTACGGCAGCATACGACACAGTAAGACCGCTCGCCTACCAAGACGCCAGAGTGTTCATGCTCTGCTTCAACATAGCCGAACCTGAGACCTTGCACAACGCTGCCGCTAAGGTAACCACTGGTCCGAGTGTAAAAGTTGAAGCATGTCTTTATAAAATTAATAAATATCATCAGATTTGTCATTAAACGAACCTAGTTTCTAGTGTTAAGATGTCTACTAAATAACAAATCAACATGTTCAACAGTTAAATAACCACTTACCAATGTTATGAAGTGTTATTCTAGCTCCCATAATAACAAACATCAATATTGAATTATGAATAAATCGGCCTTATGGAATGGTAAATAAATAAAACTCCATCAAAGAACTAAAAAAAACAAGCATTTGCCTTACATAGTATAATTAACCTATGGTTTTTTACCCTCAGTGGTACAGAGAAGTAAGAACTCACGGGGGCTCAGCTCCCGTGCTGCTTTGTGGCTGCAAGGCAGACCTGAGACATGAGAAGGAGACGCTCACCATGCTGTCCAAGCTTAGAACACATCCAGTCACCAGCGAAGAGGTAAGGGTTACATGATGAAGAGCATTCATTTTTTAAAGCCACGCTGAATGCAGGAAAAACCTGTATCATGGGTGCATTTTCAAATATACAAATTTACATAGATAATATCATACCCAGACCCGGAGGCCGGAAGGAACAACAAATTCATACAAAGAAATTGTAAACGTATAATAATTGAAACCGAACACGACATGTTGAGAAGAAGCCATTTTCCCAGCAACTGCGCCAAACGTACAATCAAAAAGTTAGATTATGAATTTACTTTGAAACGACCGCTTATGAAAAATACACAAAGTATAGTAATCCTTCATCAAACATGCTTAAGCTTTAAAAGTAAAGAAGAAAAACGTCAAAACTCATTACAACAAAATTTCCTTTAGATTGAAGTTCTATTATTACCTTAAATAGAATCACCCACAAACAAAAACAAATCTCCCAGGACGGTAAAAAATAAACTCATTCTAATTTCACGGTGAACCCAAATCCTACCTACGCAGACTTTCCGAACACATGCTCCCTACAATCCACAATTTAGGGCGCCTCCTAATGATACGAAATTCATTTTAGACTCCTCAATTTCACGGGATCCGCAAACGTCTGGGATTGGAAAGGTCTTACGGATGCCGGGGCGATTTAACTTCATTCATCAGAATTCTAATCTAAATTGAAACATCCTAGATATTCACACGTATTGTATAACAAGCAATTGAAAAGTTGGCCGCAATTTCAGGCTGGATGTCCCTATTAATTAGAGATCTTATTCAACTAGTTACCATTTAGTAAATGGGGGCAAAGTAATTGGCTCATTCTATGAATGAATTGAACGGACTCACGGGTCGTTGTGACGGGGACGCGGCTGAGTACTCTTGTTCATGAGTACCTTCAGGGCTTCAGTATCTGTTTGGAAACTTGTTACTTTGTAAAATTATTTTTGTATTTAATTAAAAAGAAAAGTAAATTGCAACCAATATATGTAGTTTAGTTTATTCACATCTTGCATAGTATGGGAAGGCAAATACGAAATATGCAACCTCCTAAAAAACATAGAAAAAAACAAATGTTTCTTTATATTCCACAGGCTTTATCAGTAGCAAGACAGCTGGGAGCGATGACCTACGTAGAGACTTCAGCCAGAGCTTCCACTAAGGGTGTCAAAGATGCCTTCGAAGTAGCTGCCTTAGCAGCCCTTGGCAAACTAAACAAGCAGCAGATGAAACAACAGGTATACAATCGTTTATAGTACTATACACAACATAATATTACTTTAATCTTATCTTCCCCCTCTTTTTCCCTCACGCGCTGGACAGCATTCCAAGCGGATTCTAAAGTAGGTACGTAGACAAGGCTTATCGCTTTATCCAAGTCACGTGGAAGTCCTTTAACATCTACTAAACTTAACTTCCATCGACATAGACACGTAGATGACGATATTAAAATAACCTTTTTCCCAACAGAAGCAAGTTGGTCGCAGCAAAAGCAAGCGCGACTTGAAAGCTGAGCTCAAAGGACGCGCGAAGAGTTGCTGCGTCATGTGATCCGTGGCCGGCCACCCGTCCCGGTGGCCGCACGACTGCTAGGCGACCACCGCCCTTCTTCTTGAACCCAACTGTTCCACACAGGAACCTTACCGGGCCTATGTAAGCGCCTTGCGGAACACCCGACGTAAATGTTAACTGACGAGTTCCCCTGTATATGGGTGGTAACTATATACGACACACATATTTAGTGTCACTATTTATTATGTTTATGTGGAATGACTATGTGCAAAGTGATCAAATAATTTTAATCATAAGTGTGATTCGTTTACGAAAGCCTAATAGAGAACTATTACTATTAATGTACTGTTAATTTAAAGAGAGCGGAACGAAGTTCTTTGGATTTTTAGGTGAAGATATCAGTAAAATAAGAAGGTGCAATGTAAATTTAGCCCTGAGAGGTGGAGCGTGAGCCTGTGATAAAGTTAAAAATAGAAAATTCGCAAGAAAATATAGAAAAGTTTTAGATTGAATAAAAAAAACGACAACGCTCAATTCGGCATTTTCTTCATTAACAGTTGTAACATTAATGTATAGCATCATGTTAGTTAGGAACAAATATTGCGTGTTTTCATATACATTGACATATTGACGTAAATATATAATAACTTGATGTTTTTCTATAACATAGCATTTTCATATGTATAGATTGTAATGGAAGGTAATGAAGCTCCGTTGTTTTCTGTAGGACCAATGTTGCTCTTATTTTTGATGCAGTAAGTAGCTTGATTGTTTTGGAGCTACGAGCGAAACATTTCATTTGTGATATATATTATACGTAAATATAAAAATAAAATAATATGCACAATGGTGGACAATACTAAATTACGGAGGTCCATATGCTAGTTAGTTTCACGTCCAAATTTTGCTATAGTTGTTAGATTTTTGTACGTTTACAATATAATGAAAATATTAAATGTTGCTTGCCTGTAGTTCGTGAACCATTTCGTAAATTAGGATCATTATTCATACTGTCATTGTGGATATTAAATATCGTTTGTTTACCTTTATATAAAACATTAATAAAGTAAACATAATATTTTATGAAGTGACAAAGTCCGAATTTTATTTTTCAAAATTAAAAAACTAAGTATTTGTAAAGAACGCTCTTGATTTTGCCAATGAATGTTTTTCGGTTTTTTCTTCGGGAAAATGGATTCAAAATTGTGTTCTATGAATAAGAATGGTTGGCTTTTTGTGTTGAAAATGTCAAATAATAATAAAGGTCGGTATTGAGTTGAGTAATTAGGTTTACAAGTCACGTCGTCGAGCCCCAGTGGAGCCACGATTGCTTTTCGCTCCCTAATGTCAAGTAAAACTAAAAATGAAATTCATAAAATTATTCATAACACGACTTGTATTGTAATTGGTGAATAATTTAAAGGATTTATAGTATTTTGCAATTACGAATAAGGAAGACAATTTAACAAAAAATAATATGGAACGAGTGTAAGTTTTTGGCAAAATCAGGCGTTCTCGAGAATAAGTACATTTTATAGTTAGGTATCTAAAGAATTCTTCATATATTGAACATATTAAAAATTAAATGTTATTTTGTTAACATTATTTTCGATTGTTTAAAGTATTGTAAGTCGATATCAAGCTTTAAATTCAATGTTAGCTTTAATTATCATTATATTTAAATATTTAAATTAAATGTGTAGTTATTAGTATAATTTTCATTAAAATCGATAATCGGACATTTTTATTTTATCTTTTTTTTTGTTTATGAACAAAATGTGTACATATCACGTAAGTTTTCTATCAATAAGAACTCTGACGTCATTTTAAAAAAAAAGAAAATTTAATTCGAACTATGAATTCAATTTTTAACGAAACAATCTTTGATAATAAGGCTTTTAAGACATTGTATTTTAGTACAGATAATTTAATAAAAAATATTTTGAATGATTGCAGACTTATTTACGACTACTTTATTTATTTATCAAAGAATATAAATTATGTCTTATTGAATTTAATATTAAGCACCTATGTTATTTGTGTTGAAAATATTATTATTTTCGATTGTATGCATCGCAGTTGATAACTAACTACGTCAGCCGATATTCAATTATTTTGATTTATTCTCTAAAAGAAACAAGATTACAGCTTCATTTACGTACGAAATTGGATTGTGAAAATTTGATTCATTTTGTAAAATCTACTTTTTGCTAAAGGTCTCGTTTATTCAGATTTTTGGACTGGAATACTGAAATATTCGCAATATTTTATCTGAGTGAACTGAATATTAATAACTGTTTCAATACTTTGATTCGTTCAAAGGCTAGCTATGACACATGTCATGTCAAAACTGACACATGTAACAGGACTTTGTTTTGTCAACTTTGTTTTTTTTCTGATCGTTTCACAAAGATATTACAAAAATAGAAAATAGCTAGAAGGTAATGTCTATAATATAAATATTAAACCACAAAGGATAATTAACAGTCAATATACTGTAATTATGCATACATACCATAGATTAAAAAATATAGGTAAATGATTGACGTTTGACATTTATATACCACCGTTCGAAATTCAATTTGTATTCTTTGAAGTTCAAAAACTTCAGACTCAATGACGTCAAAGTTTCTCAAAATGCCTTACCCTGTGTATAAAAAACAGTATAATTTTAACTATGTATTATTATAACCAATGGTTTTATTACTAGACAAGTTAACTTGACGTTAGGCCTCTTCAATGTTGTTTGTAGATATCAAATATAGCGTTCAGTGTTTTTGATATTTGCGTTTTATTTTACCTACCTACCCTGACCAGCACTTACTGAGTCAAAATACCTGTACATAATTATGTCTTTCAACTTTTTTTTTTAAATGGGGGTAAATTCATCTAATGTCTTCTCCCGCCTAGGTGAGGCGGGAGGGAGTGTCCGACTCTTACTGACTAAAAACCACCCCGTTCCTACTCCTGCCCTTCCAGCCGGAGCCCCGATAACCCGTTAGAATCTCCGCGGCATGTCTTTCAAGTAAGACCGCATTTTAAATGAAATAGTGAGTTATTTTTATCTATTCCTGGTTTTCAAGGATGGCCTGTGGAATATCTATTGATATTCTTGTTGCGAAATTCCCCATATTCACACTGAAACTATGCCTGTCTTCGCGTCAAAGTAAAAATAATTTTGATAGCTACTAAAAGTAATTAGAAACAGGTAGTAGTAGGGGAGCCCACGATGCTAAATTGGGATTTACTTGAGCGTCCTTGGGACCTACTGGATTTTGAAGATATGCTGATAGAAAGAAGAAATGGTTTAGTGACAATTTCTTCCATCAGTGGGGGAAGGGGGAATCTACAGATCTTTGAAATTGTTAAGCGTAACTTTTGTTCTAGTGGTCGAGCGTGTCAGATATTGATAGTGTACATGCTCCATGTGTATTTAATAATAAAAAACTCTTAATCTGCCAGTTTGTATGGTGGGGTTGAATGTTCTGGAGAGTAAAAACGAGAACCCTTCAAAATCCCCCCACTCTTGCAAATCAAGTTGGAATGGGCAGATTTTTTTAACGCACTTCCTTTATCACGGTATTGACCTACTTTTTTTTAATCTGACGAAACTGACTTTATTTAGTCAGACTTTTTTTTTAATTTTCAGTCCCCCCCTTCTAATCAGATCGGATATATGTTGGGTATATTCAACATGACACTAGGTTTTCCCCATATGTTAATCTGACGCGCTCGAGTAACTACCGAAATCCCTTCATGGGCTCCCCTACTATAGGTAACGATCTTAAACCATTCATATTTTGGCTATCTAATATACTACTGTGTGAGAAAACTAATATATATTTGGGAGCAAAAACCCTCAAATGGTAGTTTTAGGTAACCACAGTGTCTTAAAAGAATTTGCCCAAGCCACCATCAATAATCCTAGTATATTTAATTATAGTTATAAAAAAATAGGTAAACCAATTTCCAGGAGAAATGCATCTCAATCCTAATACCGTTTCGCTGGCAATATTTCTTCCGATATGTTAGTCGTAACGGCGTTTGGGATAGGCCTATGTTCGGCATCCGACGTTTACAGATATTTATTGGCTGTTACCATGAATAACTGCTGGAAACGAGTACATTCGACATTTGGTAAGTCTTGGTACTGTCAACTCTTTAGGATCTATCTTTATTTTTAATTTTGAAAGAAAGAAAGAATAGCTGTTTATTTGCACCGTTATAGAAAAAAATAATTAAAAGAAAAACAACAGTGTACACGGTGCAAAAAGGCCCGTGCTCAGCTAAAAAGCCACGATCGCGATTGCTCAAGTCGCGGCGCTGATTTTCAGCACTAGCCTATTGCCAAAATCTCATAAATATTAATAGAATATAGAGGTATAATAATAATAAGACAGAATAGAAACATGTAATATATTTCCTAACGATCACTGAAGTATAAATTATTATGTTTTCGGCTTACTTACGTAAATTTTCCACGAACAACTCGACTAGTTTCAAGCCATGCCAGTAGCTCATATCCATATATATATCCATACCCATATATATATTATTAGTATGTCTCACGAAAGTTACATTACGATCACTGAAGTATTTATTAAACAGGTATGTATCATCTATGATCTATTTTGGATGCGACTATACAATCTTAGGGGTTAATGTCAAACTTTTAGGACTTGTTTACACCAATTTCACATCGATCCTCGGCCTAAGTAAAGTCTAGTTGAGACTGTGTTCGAAAAGCTAAGATGCTAGCTATAGATTTCAAAATTAATTGTTATGTTTTCGGCTTACTCACGTTATTTTTCGACGAGGAACTCGACTAGTTTCACGCCTTGCTAGAGGCTCGTATTCTGTCTAACTGTCGCGCTGCTACTAGTTACGAGTAGTAGACTCGAGAGTTTGCTGCGGTGCGGGCCCAACGCGCCCTCTGTCGTGATTCACGCGCACTTTCTTCTATCTGTGGCGGCAGCGCGAATCCCGGGTCGACACAAAACAAGTGTTACATACCGCGCTCACTGTGCCACACTCCAGAGACTCGTCGAGTTCCTCATCAAACAATTACCTACGCGAGTAAGCTGAAAACATAATAATTAATTTAGCATGTCTCATGGAAGTTTTAATAAATTAGCATTAAGTCTTGGACTATGCTTGGCAAATGGGAATAGGTCCAATACAATAAAGCCACAAACACAACCAATATGAGGTAAGTGTCACACTTTCCAAATAATATAAACAGTTTCCAGTCAATCCAAAACTGAATGCTTTGCAAAATTCAACCTTACAAACTAAAAAACAAAGTCTAAGCCTTATCAATGTCAAACACTATTACCACGGACGAGCTGTCGGTACGTATAGAAGAAAAAGCTCGATAAAATTTTGAACAGTCGTTGAAAGAATATTCGATTATTTGAAAAATGTTAGTCTAGCAACTAAACAGAAATAATATTACACAAGTAGGTACTAAGTACTTCTGAAACCTCTTTTTTGAGGGGGGAAAGTCATCGAATTTGTGTCTCGCTCTTACTGACTAAAAACCAACCCGTTCCTACTTCAGCTCTTCGAGGCAGAGTCCCGGCAACCCGTTGGGAAGTCCGGTATGGGGCATAACCTATGATGGTCTGAGGGCTCTTTGAGGCGCGCGCGGACTACGACGCACCCTACGCACGGGTCCAGTTCTGATCGGGTAGCGCTTACGGTGGCCGGAGATCGTCGCGTAATCTCGAATGCCCGGAGTGTCTCCCGCGTGTAACTAATTTTTGTAGGATGGGGCAATGGGGCAGCAACCGAGCATATAGGTCGCCTGATGGCAAACAATCGACGCCTTTCACAGACACCCGTATCACCGGAGAAGCTACAAATGCGTTTCCGGCCTTTTAAAGGGATTGGGTCCCCCATAACCTTATTAATATAACATAGGCATTGCTTCACACCAGTTTTATGTGATCCTGTGGTATCACTTCGATCTAGGCGATCCGTATTCAATAGTACTGAAGCATGGCTCACCCACGTCAAACAAATATCTTGAAGAAGCAGTTTGAATTGGTGCATTAAACTCTTAGGTGAAAAACAACCTTTATATTAGGTTTTATATAGATTTCCCCGAACCAAACCTTCTACAATTTACTTGGACAGTAACCTCAAAATTCTTCCCGTTGGCAGTTCGTTTTATTACAACCGAGGCTGGGGAGTGAACACGTATCCCTAAGTGCCAATTCCGCGCTTATAAGCTCTGTACTATAACATTTTACAAGATGTCTGCTAAATATTGATAGACTTATGTTGGGGTTGAGGTTCCTATAACGTAACGCGTTTTGTAGATAGGGTAGTGAATAGTACAGGCCCTTCCCACGAGGTTTATTATTACGATGTTATGTAGAGGTATTATGTTCTATAATTTTGTGATGATACGATAAAGCCTATGGGTTTTACCTGGTAGGTAATTAATTATTTATTTATTTATTTATTTAACACTTTATGTACAACTGTATACAATGGCGGACTTAATGCCGAATGGCATCCTCTACCAGCCAACCATAGGGTGATGCAGAGAAGTGTTACAGTAGGTTTTAAAAGAAGTTTGCATCTATCGAAAAAAATTAAAAACGAGGGTGATAAATGTACGTACATATGTATAAAGGTATCCTAGTACATAAACTACATACCAATACTACATACTAATATGAAACATAAATATAATATGTAAATAATTAAATATATATATATGTAATATAAAATATAATATAATATAAAAATAAATATATAATGGGTTTATATATTTTATATAATTATATATATACCTAAAGTTTCTGAGGAGGGTGATAATTGAGACTTGATTGTATCAGTTTGTTCTGAAGATGTTCTTTGACTTTAAATTTAAAGGATAGCCGACTTAATTAGTAAATGTACATACATCATTATTTAATTCCAGGTACGGGCGAAGTATCTCATCTCTCTCGCCATCTTCTCCTTTC